TTAGATCTTATTTGTTTATACGTGAATAATGAAATTATTAAACGTAAAGCTATTTTATTCATGACAAATATTCTATGTTTACAGCTTTAATTCTTTATATGTTTAAATTAAAAAAATTGAATTGGCTCGGGTATATTATGTGAAAAATACATTGCTATTTTAATCATCATTTGAAATTCATAGTATTTAACATTAATTTTTTTTGTCACATACAACATTTGAAGTTTTTACTGTTCCAGTAGTATTGTTAACTGGATTTGTAGAGTTCAATGAATTTAAAACCTCCTAAATTTGAATAAAATAAATGAAAGAAGAAAAAATAAAAAATTAATCATTGTATTCACATTTCGAAATTCTTTAAAATAAAAATTCAATACAAACACCATATACTAATTTTAAAAGATTGAAAAAAACATAATTAATAATAATTATTGAGTTAATATAAAAAATATTTGTCAATTTTATATTTTACAGTTAGGTCTGTTTATTAGTAATGTAATTTACAAAATTAAACGACTAATTTATTATTAATTAATCAAGCAAGGAAATATGCAAAATACTAAATTCAATTTAACATTTTAAACGCAATATTTATGCTTCAATAAGCATAAAAGTTTAATACTAAAACAGGCCAGTTTCTTGAATGGAAATTTAATAAACCACATTTTCAGTCTTAAACCTTTTGAAAGAAGAGTATTTAGTTTATTTAAGGGATTTTAATAGAGCTTTGAATAAATAAAGTCATTTTATAATAAAAGTTCTTTTATAAATTGTAAATTGAATGAGAGAAGTTTATAAATTTCAAACAATTATGCTGTTTTCGTCTGTGATGTTAATTAACATATTTAAAATCTGCACAACTAAAAACAGCTAAATATATGTAATTTCCAAGCATTTAGCGTTTTGAAAATGACATTTGTAAATACGTATGCATATCGATAAAAAAGAAAAGGTCGCGTATGACCGTTAAGTGCATTGTAGCGAAAAAACGAATGGGATTCTTTCCTGTACACGATACAATTTATAAATCCCTATGAAGCATTTTCTAAGAGCAGCCACAAAGCTTTCCGAAAAAAAAGATTTGGCCTGGCATGTAAAAAGAATTGCATTATGTCTGACTACAAAATAGTAACTACAGATTGCAGAAAATAGGTATTTCTATATAAAATGTTCATTCCTACATAATTCTACGTCTCAGCTCAACGTCCTCTCCCAAGTCCAAACTCCACATTCTCTCGCTATATATATATATATATATATATTAATAAATAGGGAGAGAGTGTGGAGTTTGGAATCAGAAGAGAGGCCAATGATGTTCAGCTGGGACGTGGAATTATGTAGGAACGGACATTTTATATATATATACGAATTCGTATTATGATGTAAGCTCTTTAAGCCTATTCCCTTTACATTACTATTTATGTAAAAAATAAGTGCTGTTTGTAATGTCGAATGTACTATATTATTTCGTTGTATGTATTATATATTTCATTGAAATATTATGTCTCTGGACTTACAACGTAAATTTTCCCTTACATTATGATCACAACAGAAACGCAAGTAAATGTACACACTTCAATCGGCTTATATTTCCATCGGATACTTATACCCTTCGAGTTATTTCGTTCAGCTGAGTACGGATGATATCCTTGTGTTACTTTGAATTTCTACAGTTAAGATCACTTTTTATTTATATTCAGTTCAGCGGACTTGCTCAAAAAAAAAAAAAAAATCTTCATAATACCCTTATTGTTGGGTCAAGTGTTCAATTCTCCTGTGTCCGTATTGTTAAAGGATAACGATGTAGTATAACGCTCACCATATCTTTAACATGTGTTGTTTTCCAATATTGTACAAAACGTTAATATGCACGCAAATAAAAAATTCTTTTTTCGATTTAAAAATTCGAAATGCAAAAAAAGTCTGTTGTTGATAATTGAATTTTCATAAAATCATAGAGTGATTTATCATGTTCAGTGGAAATTCAACTCTATAACGACTATCAAAGAAGCCAAGTAAAGAAATCTTATTCTGAAATGTAAAATAAATATGGTTCATACATTATTTCATGCAGACATATGTCCTACATAAACGTAAATCAAGTGAAGTCGTAAAAACTGTGGTTAAATAGGTAGTTTACTTTGAAAATTCCATCAGTACAATAATATCCCGTTAGTTATTTACATAGAATATCCATACATATCGAATAAACTTTTGTTGACGATTTATTTACATAATGTATTTTATAACATTTATGTTATTTTGTAATTTATTGTTACGCACGATTTAATTTACAGAATAGACGTCAAGTCGTTGGAAAAATACCGTAAGATTTCAGAATTACACACATTTACATTAAGAACAATTATTAAGTTTTTATGACATAGTAATCGAGTTATCGACATATTAATAAAAAATATTAATCAAGTCCTATGATATCGATTTCACCATTCATTAAACACGTTTAAATGATAAATTAATTATTATAGACATTAAAAATTCGAGCTTTTATTATTTTAGCTATTATTTCTACCGCCTACCACCAAAAAATTACATTGAAATTGAGTATAGAAAAACAATTACGGGATATTAAGGGGCACAATTTTCGTTTCGAATTGTTTGAAGATTATTTTGATAGCGATTAGTTTGAAAAAAGTCAAATACGAAATAACGTTAGATCAATGTCGGGTGGGAGCGGATGCTGTGGAAACGGGCAGAGTTGTCAGTGGAATTATTTTCATCTAAGCAAACTTAGGGAGGAGAAACATGCGTCCGGATGACACGTGTATAGGGAAACAAAAACGAACGTCCGGGACACTCAACTTTCAATCGAGAAAGTTATCTGTCAATAACAGACTCCATTACGAAACACGCCCCTCCTGCCCTTCCAGAAGGCCGTTCGTCGGCCAAATCCGGTAAAACAAACAGCAGATGGAACGAGACAAATAGAAAAAGGAAGCAAAAAATAAACAATTTTCACGTCTGACCAATTTCAGAACAACACGTGCGGTGAATTCTTATTTTACAATGGCAATTCATACGACTTTTCGCGTACACACACGATATTATACACATTTGTTTTGCACTGAATCGCAAAACTAATAAAACATGTACACCAATATGAATTATTCATTAAATCGTAATCACGTCCTAATGTGTACTACCGATAACAATAATCGTTATTGTAAAAGAGTCCGACCTTTGAGTTTAAAATGCTCAGTATCGACAGTAACGATTTGCACGACCGTCCGCGGCTGGAGAGCGCCTTTGTTAGCATAACGGTAATAATGATTATATTATTCGGGTTTTGCCATGCAATTGGCATTGTGTAATAAGTATAATAGTATTATTATTCATGTAAGCCGAGACATGATTTCAGCTGATGTAATCCGAGTAAAATTCAAGACGAGATACATTTCAGCGGAGTCCGACTGAAGAACGTAATTAAAATTTCCAATAGCTGATGCAATCGCTTTACAGAAAACATTGCGATGAAAACGAATCGAGACTCGNGGAAACATTGCGATGAAAATGAATCGAGACTCAGTTTGATTGCATCTGATCGTCTACAGTAAGGAAACACAGACATTTATTACTATTCAACTAAACTTTTACGGTTCAGATGAAAACTAATTTTTATCGTTAAATGATGAAAAAAGCCAAAAGCATTTTGAAAACGTTTCGCATTGAAAAACACAAGAATGTGTATGCATGCCGAAGGGGACGGATTGCGACTATTGTTATTTTATTTTCGTCCTCAATGACAGTGTTTTTATGGAGAAAAAGATTCGTTTAGTGCGCGTTGGCAAAGTTCCTAATCGAATATACGCGCGCGCCATACAATCGTTTGACAGAATAGGTAAATTGCTATGGCGAATCGCAATGTATATGCTCTTATTTCTTCTGCCAGACGACGCGCTGTGCCCTTAAGTTTTAATCTGTGATAAACTAGATAACTTCTATTGGACAAAAGAAAAAATAAATCTCTAGGGACGTTTCGTTGAAGACGTACGATTTTGATTATTAAAATATCCATTAAAATATTTCCTTCGAGTAGAAATAATTTGTCACATATTTTATCTGTGCGTTTCAACGGCATTGCGAAAATCCAAGAACTGTTCGTTAAAAAATGCGAGTAATGCGAATTAATTTCATATCGAATTGATATTCACCGATGGTCATATTTCTACGGTTTGGTATAAATCCACGAGTTTTGACGGTACTAGTTTATTATTAATTTATGCAATCTGCATGTTTGATATCTATATCCGGAGTTCAATTATACTGTGACGCGGGTAGTCAATTTTTCTTTATTCATTTATAATATCAGACCGCCCATTTTATGTTATTTCGCCATGGGTAATTATTTTTGCACGTTATTCGATGATCCTGATATAGTATGCATGCAAACGTCAGACTGACAGTCAGTACAGCTTTATGCACGCGTTTAGTAATTTCATTTCGTTTAGAGTTCAATTTCAAACCATTGTGTGTTTTGTATATATACACAACGGATTTTGGCATCTATGTCCGTTCGGTATAAGCTTTGAATTATTTAGTCGGCATATAGAATAATACGAATGTTTGAGTTCTAGAATTTTGATCAATACAAACCTTAGAACAATTACAGCATCCGGCAGCTAAGTACAATTATGCGTTTAAATATAANCAGCAGTTAAGTACAATTATGCGTTTAAATATAATATCCATGTGAAAATAACATTCAGATGACAAACAAGTAAACACGGTTTATAATATACTAGCCCTAAGACCTAACAATGTCATTATATCAACGATAAATTCGTTTAATACCTATGTATTGAGTCTTTTCAATCAATTGACTATGCGCATAAATTTCCTTTTGATTTTTTCAAAAGCTTACTTTGACAAGTTTTAGTAATAATAAAAACGTTGTGCTTGTATAGATTTTTAGTATATTTACGTTGTTTGTAATGCTTACCTTTTGCTTTTNTGATTTTATAGTTGTTTGTAATGCTTACCTTTTGCTTTTTAATGGATCTTAGTCTTAACATTAGTTCATAACCAATGCACACAGCCATCACTGAGATACCGTTTTCTTTAGCTAACATTGACAGCAATGCAAACACTACCGTTAATGTTAAGTATCTTCTATCTGGCGGCCATCTAATTTTCGTTTTCTGAGCACACGTATTACTTCGATTATTTTTTCGAGATTGTACAAACTCTTTGTAACACAAAAATGACATCAAGAAGAACACACATGATAATATGTCTGCTCGACCGACTACTGAGGCTACCGCATCAGAGTGGATAGGATGCACTGCGAAAAGTAATGTCGATAGCAAGGCAGACCTTTTAGACATCATCAGTCGAGCTGTTACCAATAATAAACCCGTTGCAAAGCTATGTAGGGCCACGTTAGTCGTATGATATGACATTGGTCTCAAACCCGAGAACCTAAAATTATATTAAAGAAATACATTTTATTGGCTTTAATAACTTTTACTATAGTAAATTTCATATACCTATTAGAAATTAAACTAAGATCTATTCAAAATTAAACCATTAGATAAAAGTTAAATAATTAATCAATGTAAATTTTACCTATAGTTGAACCTGTACGTTAAAACTGTAATTGGTCTGTAAGACCCGTGTGAATTTTTCGTGCCCATCGGTGTACCCCAAAAATCATTATACCACAAGTTAAACCCTGATGTCGATGCTCGTATATCATCATTAGCAATGATTGCTTGACTGAAATAAAAAACACAACATATGACTATCCATTATGATTATTGAACATAATTTAGAAACGGCCAAAGGTAGTGTAAAATCTTGATAATCGTATCAAAAATCATGTTGATTTTTCACTTTTAAGGTATTTTGTAATCACTTGTTAATTAAGAGTCAAATGTAATTTTTTATTGTGAATAGTTTATTTTGAAAATTAACGATGGTTTGTATAATTTTTAACCAATAGCAAAAATATAAAAGTAATTGATGCAATATAATTTAAAATAAAAACATAGACACTGATAACCAGAGGTCGTAAGTTCATGCCTTTGCATGTCGATTTTACTTAACCCTATTTAATGCTAAGTGATATAGAAATTTGTTTCGAGACTTGGGGAATCAGTAAAATGAATTAAAAAATAGTTACCAATGATAACTATTTCAAACGATCATCATATATATTGTTGTGTATAACCCTTTTGATTACTCGACGTAGCTATTTACTACCAATGTAACTAAATTAAAATATTTTTATTGAAAAATAAAGTTATAATTATAGAAGTAGTTTTGTACGAATTTTCGGGTAGGTATGACTTTGTAAATAATAAATAATAAACATTTTTAGAAGAGCTTTAGCAAGAGAGCAGCCTTAGAATTTCTTGATATTTTGAGTGACGTTTTTAAAACACCAACGTAAATTCTTGGGAATTATGGAGGTATCTGTATAGGTACACTGTATATATGTGACTATTAAATACATTTTTATTTTTACATCAAAGACCGAATAAAGTTTCAAAGAGAAATGACTGCTAGCAGGGGGCTGTAAAATAATCCCTTCGTTAACGATCCTTTTTTTTCATGCTTTTGCCCTCCACGAACAAATCTTATAATAATAACGCGGTTCGGAAACCGCTGGTCTTGAATAACAAACAGGAATACTATTACCATAAAGAAATGATGGTATTCATAACGAGATAGGATGCGATTTACTTTGTATTCCTCTAGTCTCCTTACCAAGAAGATTCTGTCATTAGTATAACGTTATTTTCCCTTGAGGTCATTATTATTTTCAATAATCATATTTTACCAAATGAGTTTAAGTAGTTACGTGACAACACTATTATGATTGAGTTTAAAGTATAATTCCGAGTAAATTTATTATGGTAGTTAAAGGACTGAGTACAAGTGTGCGCATATAGTTAAATAACATAAATATCGTTTTCCGCGTACGTTAGTTTAAAGTACAGTAAACAAAGTTTTAAACTATTCGCTATTTCGAGATAAACAAAATACATTTTTGTATTAATTTTTTACTTAAATAATTCACAAGATTTTATTTTCAAAAAAAAAATACAAGTTATTTTTTTATACGCGATAGTAATTTTAATATGGACTTTTAAGGATATGCCAATCATACAGTGTGATACGTTTCTCCTTTTAAAATATCAATAAAAATCAACACCTAATCATTGGTTATACCTATTTTTATTAAACATTTTGTGAAAATTATACATAATTTTTATTTTATTTGTTTTTTAAGTTTATCTCATATGCTTCTGATTCATTTTTATGTACCATAGTGGGTTAATTGTATTAAATTTGACTCAATAGCTCAAACTTTAGTGATTAAAAACAAAACTTTGGAAAAACTTGGAGGAAACAGTATCTTTTCATACTATTTGACAATTAACCTCGACATCTCTGCCAAGATTCTCAAACAATACACGTCTAAAAACTTCTCGAGGACTCATTAAATATGTGACTCCAAAACACGAAGAAGTTACCTAGGATACATAGTTTTACAGCTATTAATAGTTATGTTGACGTTTGCAAACAACATATAAGTACACAAATGTTGATGTTAAAACATGAAAGTAATAATTACACACGTAAAATAGGGTCTTCCTAAGAAATGAAAGTTTGTAAATATAAATCTAATTTAGTAGTTTTTTCGGTATTTAATACTCTTTAGTATGCTATTTTATACTTCAGTAAAAGCTGAAGCTTAAAAAAAATAAGCATGAGTAATATGATTCTAAAAATTTACAATCACACTGTAATTAACAGTACATTTTAAACTTACATTATTAATTACTTTTACGTTAAATGGTATAGTTTTTCCTTAGTTGTCTAAAAGACTATTTACAAACATTTTATTTTAAATGGTATAATTAAGTCAAATTATAGAGTAGTTTAATGTGGCTTTTGGTTGGATAGTTTCCAAGTAAAATGTTGTACAGTTGTCACTTAACGATAAATTATTTTATTTTAAGTTTTGTTTGCAACATGTAATTTTGTCAAATACAAATACTTTTATTTTCTTTATACAGTTGTTTTATGGTACTATAATTAAAGTGCATTATGCTATTGATTATGGAGGAAGGCAAAATAGTTTTTTTTAAGTTCATTTAGAGATTCTAAGATCGCTCTTATTAATTTAGTATTCTAATGTACTTAGATATTTCATTTAATTTTCACAAAAAATATACAAAAAGAAAGCCTATTGTGTCTTTCATATTTTATTAAAATGTTATTAGTAAAGTAGGCAAGTGTAAATTTAATAAAATTAAAATCGGATTTTTTGATGTATTGAACATTAAAATTGATATAGTAAGGGCTGAGAATTTTCATAAATAAAATGCACATTATTGTAAAATCAATACCTTTTCAGGTTTGCATAGAAGTTAGAACATAAAGTACAGTAAGGATCTAGCATATGAAAGTTGAGGTATTTTTTTAATTAGAATTGATTGATATATTACATTAAAGTGAATGCCAATAAACGCTACGATGCGAGCTTGAAATTTTTTTTTTTTTAAATTGAACATAACTACAAAAAATGATTTTATATTTAAGAGATCATCAATTGCTCATAGAAAACAAATCGCTGAAATGTCTTATATTTGATAATAAGGTACATTAAATAAGCTATAATTTGATTTATATTTTAACGATGAGGATGTTTTGCATAGCATCTGTTCTAACGCATTTCACTGAAAATTGTATGTTTTTTGAGTTTAATATCTCCAATACCTTCCAAAAATCTAAATTTTAGATAGTTTTTATTTTTTCATCTTATTCTACATTGTATTAACTTAAATTTAACTTATGTTTGAAGCATATGAAGTTTTTTGGCACATTATTAGAAATTAAAAAGAAAAATATTTTGATATGATTTTAAGCCCTCCCAGTACCTTGGTTAATAATTAGTTAATATTAATTATAATGAATAATTTTCAAAATAAATGTGTAGTCGCTAAGGTAATGTCTAAAATGTTATCAGTAAAAATGTACTAATTATCAGTTCAATTTTCAAAAAGTTTTTCAATATAAAGTGAAAACTAAAAATATCGACATCAAATAAAACATTTTATTTGACTATTTTATATAATTTAAATAATTTTAAAATTAAAAAAATTGTAATCAATTTTAATAACATCACATAAACACTAAATCCAATGAATGAGATCATATTTATTCAATAGCTTTTTAATGCAACTTAATCACAACTAAAGACAAGTTATGAATATTTTAAATTATTAATTTAAAATATCAAAAAATATTTAACTAAAAAAAAAATAAATATGGTATAAAATACTTTGACAATTTCAGGTGAACATGATGCTTATATGTAAAAGGTTTGAAGAGGTTTTGGACTACAAAGTTCAAACATAAATGTTTAAAAAAAACATAATCAAAACTATACTTTTGTATGTAATTTTAAAAAGTGTAAGGGCTGCTAAACTTATTTTAATGTCATATACTTACATTTATTTTTTCACCTAATGATATTTAGTTATTTAGAGGCAACAGAAGTATACAATCAAACAATTTACTCGTTACTCTCTAGTTAGACAAATAGAATAAAATAATTGAAAAATTTAAAAAAAATTATGATTGTCAATAAATTCAAATATGCACTATCAAAATAATTATTTATTTTTCTTATTGGTACTTAATTTTTGACAGTAATACTTAGAACAGTATTATTAATTAAAACAAATTCAACTATACTGCTAAACCTTAAAAATAATATTGTAAAAGTACATGGAACATTTTATAAATTTGTGCGGGAAAATAAGAACAAAAAAACTTAATTTTAGATAATAATTAAAAGCATAACGATCCCTTAGAAATTTTCATCGGAAATTAAATTTTCTTTTTTATTCTAATATTCTGAATCTTTCTATAGTAGGTACATTATTATTTTGTTATTATCAAAACGAAAAATCTCTTGAAAAAGCGAATCCATTTCGTTGACGGATGGAAAGTTTCTTCATTGGTCTGTCCAGCTATTATAAAAATAAAATTCCGTAAAAAATACTTAAATACGTCTCAATAATCCCTTGTTTTGTTCATTAAGCTTAATACTAAATCCCCAGATCCATTAAAATTAATACCAATGGTTTTTTTAATTTTTTCTCGTCTCCCATTTTTGTTTTTTGCCAACTGTCGTCTTATTTTATTGTCCCAGCATCCGCACCATTATTTCCTAACGCCTCGTAGGGCATTAAATTAAACAAACGAGAAAAAACAATTAATTACCAGCAAATGTAAGGAACGCGCTACTGAAAGGTATAAAAAGAGGATAAATTAATTTGTCATTAAATCGCCCAGACATTTAATAACGATAGTACCAGTTGTACTATAAATAAATGTTTTTCATTGGATTAAATTATTTTTTCGCTTTATGTGAAGGCTACCTTTTTTTGATGAGTAATATAATTTTATAACTGATAACGTTAATAAAACATTATATATAGTTAAAACTAAACAATGGTCAATTTTAAAACAAATATTTTTTATCAAGTTGTTTAAATTGTTTGTTTTATTATAACTAACAAGAAATAAAAAAATAGATATATTTAAAAGGACGTTTTTCTTCCTCATAAAATAGCATAAACATTAGATAATATTTATGTTTGGTTAATCGTCAACAAGTTCTATATTTATCAAATAAATTGTTTGAATAATTAAAATGACTAAAAGGTATTTTGAGTTCAAACTCGGTACTTTGTTTGTTTTTAACTTAATTATACACAAAAGTAACTTTTAATTTTAGCATAAATTCTTTTCTGTTCTAAATTCTATTGGGAGACTTTTAGACAGTAATATTAAGTTTTTATACGTAAAAGCAAAAAAATAATCAACAAAATTTTTATATGTATATCAATACCGAAGCCAAATATTTGTATGTGTGATCGTTCAAAAAATAATTTCCTTACTTGTCGTCATATGCAAATCCAGCGCCGAGAGTATTGACATAAACAGAAAACGCTAAAAAACAACATAACAGTAAATGATAATCTATCGGAGCTTTTTGAAAAAAATTTAACTGAAAATTGATAAGCTTGATGAGGACCATTTTTCCAACACCACATATAGAAAAATTTAATTGTAGAGGAACACGTGTTGAATTTAAAAAGTGAGACATGTTATTACGTACACGATTTGGTTTTTTGACCAACACAAGAGTGTTTGAGATCATCGCGGCAACGTGACTGAACAACAACACATTTTGGTGGTCCGTCCCGAATCAGATCCACCCAGAAATTGTAAACCGCATGCGTTTAAACGCATTTTCCCGCCTTGAAATATTGACAATTCAACGATTTACCGCTGAAAAAGGTTGACTAAAAAAAATTATACATTATCCTAGTAAATAATTTTGTTTTTCACATTTTTATTTAACATTCATATAATTCAGGTATATATTTTTATAGTTAAAATAGTAAGATTTTTGTTTTTCATTGCATTTGTTTACTTGATACTTTTTAAGTATTACAAACTTTACATAAAATTGTATCGAAGATTAAATCGATTTCAAATAAAATATAATTATCTTTTTCAATAAATACATTTGTAATTTTAAAACTTTGAATTAATAAATAAAAATTTTTTAAGACAGTTCTAGGCAGAAAATTTTATTTTAGGGGGTTTGTAGCAATGCTATTAAGTAATTACTAGAAATGGAATTTTTAGTAACAGTAAATATAATTTGTTTTGTTAAAAAAATAAATTCCAAATTATAACACTGTGTTTAATAATATTATTGCTTTATTTGATTCTAAAAAAATAATTTTCTCAGATTATGAGTAAAAAAAAGCTAATTAAAGCAAAAATAATGTTATTCATATACGTATTGGATATTTTGCGGATAATTTATCATGATTATTAGTAAAATAACAATGAATAATAATTATGTAATAACAAAGTTTGGAATCTTTAATAATAATTGTATTGCTGTTTAACCACGTTGCTTTTAAAGTACAATGTTTGAAACTTTTGAAATGAATTATTTATGTTTTATAGCTGATAATACTTAATGTTTCAAAAAGTTTAATAAGTGGTTCAAAGTTTATCAAGTAGCATATTTTTAACAATTATAATTTGTACAACAATATAAAAGTTAAATTTGTAATTGAATATACGAATTAGGCTAAAAATGTTTGATAATATTTATTTTTGTCGGAAAATCATGTTTTAATATAAAATAATTTTTAAGTTCTAGTTTCATTCGTTATAATACTAACGTTTGTACTATGAAACTTTGAATCAAATATTTTAAAGATTTTATCTTGTTAACGAGTATTTTTTTTTAGTTATAAGAATAATTTATTAGTATTTTTAATAAGAAATGTTTATAAGATTAACAAGATCAAAGCTATTTAAATAAAATTCCATGATACTTAATTTGAAAAAATGTCAATATTTAATAGTGTTAAAAGAACTAACCGAAAGCAATAAAATTATCTCTGTTTATAAAAGATAAGTTGACTGAAGGATAAACTCATCATATTTTTGTTAGTCTACTATATTTTTAATATATCTTAACTCGAAATTATCTGTCGTGATCGATAATTTTTCATAAATTATTTCTTAAACTTGTTCTGTTTTCAACAAAATAAACAAGCTAAACGCCGCGTCTGTTGTCATATTTGAGTTGAAAAAGAGTATAAGTGAAGCCCAAAAATATAGTGCGATTGACAGCCTGTAATTATTATAATGTTCCTGAGAAATTTGCACTTGGATGTTTTGTAAATATTGATTATTGAGTAGACAAGCTTTTGTCATAAACGTTTGTTTACTCGTTTATTCAGCAGACTAGGGTTTATTCAAACGACCGATGACTGACCAAACAAAACAAACACCTATCCCCTTGAATGAATGAATATAAATGTATAAATAAATAAATATTATGACGCCCTCTTACGTCAAAATCATTTTGGTTGATAGAAAACTTTTTCAGTTGTGACAACATCTAAAGACAAGCAAAGCTATAAATACTCACTTGCTACATCAGTGGAAAACAACACATGTATTATAATAACAACAAAAAACTATGAAAACAACAAATACAGCAATTTGCCAGGTTTTTTTATTTTATTTTCACTAATCGATTAAAATTTATATTTCGAGCAACTTTTTTGCTTAATATTTTTATCAACTGGTACTAATGTAGTATATTTATGAGAAAAATATACAAGAGACAGGGTAGCTTAATAATGATTGATAATATAATTTTCGATTAAATTTTGAAAAATGATCGTTGATTGTTGTTTTATCATTTACATTTTCAACAAATTAACAATAATTAATCATACTTTCGTAATAACTAAATTATATGTATCGCTTGATGTTCGAACATTTTAGAAATCTTTAAGCTAATAACATTATAAAGTTATTATGAGTTTAACTATTAAAAAAAATGTGATGCCCTCGCTGTTAACAGTTTTTTTTTTTTTAATTAACCTCAACAAAGCTTTTAAATGAATAAAAAATATGTATAGCATAAATATGAAATACTGCATAGTTTATTCATATTATTATTAACTTCATGAATAAAAATGAGTAGCTCTTTTTTCATCATCAAAAGGTCATTTCGGGTGTGTGCATTTTTATTAAAATCATTTACATTTTTTTAAATATAACAAAACACAATTAGTTAATTAACCGAATTCATTGTGAGCTAGTGGTTTTATCCAGGGACATTTTCTTTAATGCATACACGTGCAGGGTGAACATATTAAACCATTAATTTTGTTTATTATAAATCTTCCAACAGACAAGAAAGGTTAAAAAGCTAAATGTAGTTAATTATAATTAAATCTCCTGGGTACATATTTCTTTCTGTGGCTGGATGAGCTTTTTGATAATTATAGAAAAAACATTTTTGCTTTCAAAAGTTAAAAAAATGTTTTAAAATTGAAATAAAAATTTATTGCCGATTGAATTGTAATTAACTTAACATAATTGACGAAAAAACGCTTTTGTTAATGATTGTATAATGTAAAATATTATTATGAAAATATTTAAATGTGCAGTTTTAAATATTCACAAAATAAAATAAAATAAAAATGTAAATTTTATATTTTTGTATACATTTTTAGATTATTGGACTCTGTAATTTAATATATGAACTACGAATCCAGATCAAGAGTGTGTTGATTGAAAATCGTCTTATATCATTTAATAAACATTTATTCTTTAGATAATGAAAACACATGATATATATTTAAAAAATAATATAATTCTGTTACATTCATACATAAATTACCACCAAAAAAGTTATGTTTCACTTAATAGTTAAGCCATACAACTTAGACTAAAATATTTTGAGAATTTTTTCATTATTTGTTCATTTGAATAACAGAAAAAATTGGTAAATATAAGTTTTATTTAAAAGCGACTTGAAATTATGGCTGAGAAAAAGAAATACGTCGGGGAATTTGCTTGAAAAATGTTATAAGGAAAACCCGTTTATTCGGTCGGCGTATTCAAAAAATGCAATAATGAAATTCCAATGTACATGCGCAAATCTAATAACACATAAAAAGTGCACAGTTTTATTCTCAGATTTTGAATGCCTTCGGCATCGGTGAATCGTTATGAGGTGGATACGTTGAGGAAAATAAAAATCATTCTGAATACTCCACTTAGACAACTGAATGAGACGTTATTCTTTATTGATGTACTGTTAGTAATTTTTCGTTTACCCGATTTTATTGTGCGCTCTTCATATCTGAGTGTGTAAAAAAAGCCTCGTTTATGAAAAATGTGACGGGTGTCCGTCGTAATGGAGTATTATATACCGATGGCGTCTGTATCCTCGAATCAATCATTTTTTTCCTTTTTGCCCGAACGACACCAGGATATTATTATACAGTATTATTTTTATTATAACGTCACGTAGAATGTATAGCATTTGTGATATATTGTCACATCGATCCATTAAGCGCATATACTCGTTCGTGGTATTCACATTAAACATTCCATGAGCTTTTGACACTTCGAAACGGCCTCTTTTACTCGGTCCATTTAACGAAAGGCACACTCCAGCAAAGTTGACACGTAAAACAATAACGGTGTTTTAATAATTTCTAGTCTTTTTCTAATACATTATGAATTTACTTGAAAAAATCCATTTTATCGTTGTAACATCCTAGTTTTTTGGTAGTAATTCTTTGTTAATGGCTTTTGAAATTTCATCCCTTTATGAGAATTATACATTTTGAACAGAAATAATTTTGAATTTTTTTAACAACAATATTTTTTATGAATTATAGATGTAGTTGAGCATGTAATTAATAAATAATAATCTTTAGATATAGATCATTGGATGTGTACATTCTGTTTTACAGTCCGTTTCCATACTAAACCATAAACACAAGAATTCTCAATTGGCAAAATATTATAGACTTTTACTGTGGCGAGGAATTCCCGAATGGCACATAAGGCTAGGGATTAATATGTTTGCTAAACTATGTCTAGTTGGCTTGTTAAGCTCTTTTTAGTTACAACTAGAACGAACAGAAAGTTATACATTCTTCTATTGTTTCCTTTCGTAAAAAATTCTGTTTTCTTAGTGATTTGTTAAATAAAATCAATATACAGTTTGTGGATTTTATGTTGACACGTTTAGTGACTTCTAGCAATAAGTACTTGATCAACAAAAACACACAAATTCAAAAAAGTTAGTTTCACCCCTAGTTGAGATTCTACCAAACCGTCGAATAATGTAAATTCGAAACAGTGTCACGTGTTTCATTTTTCTGTCTGCTGTCTATAGTTAAAATAAAAGAAATTATAATATTTAGATTACATTTTTTTTGCTCACGACTTTTTTTTATTTTAGATTATCGCTACATAAAAATTGAAAAAAGGAGAAAAGTGGAGTTGAGGCAATTTTAGGTTGCTATTGATTGATATCTGATAGTGATTAAATCATTTCAAAATCGACCAATTTTACCGATATTTGTATGATTTTGAACCAATTAGCCGATAACTCATAGAAATATCTTTATATTTGTTTTAATTACTGTTATTTAAATAACATCCAATGAACTTTTAATTGGCCCATTTAATCTGATTTACCTAAAATCAGTTTATAAATACTTGAAAGACTTTTTTTTAAATTTTTGTTAATGTAATCATGTATACATTTTGTAAGTATAATGTATTGTACAAATAGAATATGATGTACAAAATTTATACTTTATACCAAAATATATAAGTTGTATTTAAACAAATATTGATATT